CTATGCATTATTTTGAAATGCAGTTCAATGATAACATTTGCAGATGGGGAACGGAAGGGTTTGGTCAGGTTGGGAACAGCAATATTCCAGGTACCAACATTTACCTGTTAAATAAAAGCTTAAAAGAAGGCATCATCCAACTCCAATACTCCCTTGTCAAGAAGCTTGTATGATATTCTACAGTGATTTGAATCCAGATTCCCCAAAAAACAGATCACTTTAATTAAAATCAATTGAAAATGATACCAATGAGGAGCACAGGTGAAGCCAGCAAATAGTTTGTATCCATGGCTAAATTACATTTGTTGAATCCAGCAGGGCATGTGGTAATGTCTGGACTTATTATCTGTAATAAAATCAATAATTATAAAGATATAAATAAATCTACAGTAGGATAAATGCTTGATAACATACATTCGGATTGCTGAGAGATGTGTGGCATTAACACATTTCTAATTAGCTTTAATGATTAGGTGATCTTGACTTGCGCCAGGTTTTAATATATATCAGTTTGGTTTGTGTTTTACAAAATATAGTAATACTACATAACAATAATGTCTGAAACAACACAGTGATTGCTCATAGATACAAGTGTGAAAAATAATAAAATTCCCAATCAAACGCCTAACACTTATTTACACCACTATTATTGGCTTATCGCTAATTAGTGACAATGCAGACGATAACGAGGTAAGGGAGTGAAGAAGAAGAAAATGCGCATATTGATGTTTTGATGTACAGGTCAGATATTCTTATGAAAAGAATACTCTTCGTAATTTAACAGATACTATAATTCCCTTACGCATCTCTATCATATTAATCAATCTCATTCTTTAATCCTGCATATTACACAACTTCCGACTGGACTCCCAGCTTCATTGCATGCGATGTCAACACTGCTTATTATTCCAGTTTCACCATGTTGCATGTTGAACGAAAGCGCTCTACATTAACTAGATATCCAGAAAAAACAGTAAATAAAAACATTCATCACTCAAATAAGATGTATATATATCGGCTAAATGGATAGAAACAAGTGCTATCACCTTATCTAAGGAAGTCGATTATAACCGCTATGTATGTCTGCAGCCAATCATCTTATATCATTTTTTTTATCAGTATTTCAAATGAGTTTAATATAGTTCGGCCTCATGTAAAGACAGTCATTAATATTAAGTAAGATGACAGGCTGTTTACGTTCTACGCCGTTATGACGAGCAGAACACAAACATATTTTTTTTTCTTAGTTTCCTTACAGATTCCTGCTATTAATTTAACATACTTGGTAATTTTGTAATTGCCTATGGAATAAAAAATATATACAAATATGAGCGCTACGGCGTAGTATTCAGACTTGTTTTCAAATGTTATATAACAGGAGAGAGAGAGAGAGAGAGAGAGAGAGAGAGAGAGAGAGAGAGAGAGAGAGAGAGAGAGAGAGAGAGAGAGAGAGAGAGAGAGAGAGAGAGAAGAGAGAGAGAGAGAGAGAGAGAGAGAGAGAGAGAGGGAGAGAGAGAGGAGAGAGGAAGAAGAGGAAATGAATAAGGAGAGAGAGAGAGAGAGAGAGAGAGAGAGAGAGAGAGAGAGAGAGAGAGAGAGAGAGAGAGAAGAGAGAGAGAGAGAGAGAGAGAGAGAAGAGAAGAGAGAGAGAGAGAGAGAGAGAGGAGAGAGAGGAGAGGAGAGGAGAGGAGAGGAGAGGGAAGGAGGAGAGGAGAGAAGAGAAGAGAAGAGAAAGAGAAGAGAAGAGAAGAAAGAAGAGGAAGAGAAGAGAAGAGAAGAGAAGAGAAGAGAAGAGAAGAGAAGAGAAGAAAAGAGAAGAGAAGAGAAGAAGAGAAGAGAAGAGAAAGAGAAGAGAAGAGAAGGAAGAGAGAAGAGAAGAGAAAGAGAAAGAGAAGAGAAGAGAGAGAAGAGAGAGAGGGAGAGAGAGATTCTTCAATACTGACCAAATTTAAAGAC